CCCCCCCCCCCCCCCCCCCCCCCGTTGTGGCCGGAGACCTTTGTTGCATGTCATTCTCTTTGTGTCTCTCTCTACCCTCATTTCCTGTCTATCTTGACTGTTAACTATATCCTATTCAATAAAGACAAATATGTTCTACAACAGAGAAAATATATACAACAAAAAGTAAATGAAGATTTGAGCAAAATGAATGATGTGGAGCGAGGCCACACGTTTTCCGGTTGTCCGTCCTGTCGCTTCTCGTGAATGGTATGTCTCAGGAACGCCAGGAGATCATTTCTTCAGATTTGGCAGAAATGTCCACCTGGACTCAAGGATAAACTGATTCTATTTTCTAAAGGTCCAGGTCACTGTGACCTCACGTCCGCCCATCTTGTGAACGCAATATCTCAGGGAATGCCTTGAGCGTTCAGTCAAGGGTTGCTGTGACCTCGTAAAACACATCTTTGGCCATAACTCAAGAATTCTTGTGTTTATTATGAGAATTTCACACAAATGTCTTATAGCGTAAAGCAATGAAGTGGCTCAATTCTAGTTTCACCTTTGAGCTGGATAGAACGCCACGCTTTCTGTGTGGATGTTGTAATGGTAATATTTATTTGAACTCTGTGTGTCCGTGTTGTGAACCCGAAACTTACGTGTGGTTAAAACTATGCAGTAATGAAAATGTAGTTGAAAGTCTCATCTTACCTTGAAACCGTAACTGGTTCACAGTTGAACGCATCTGGCAGAAACTAGATAATGAGCAGATCAAGACAGCCTGTGTCAAAAGACCTCTACTCCCCTATTTGTCTAGAGGAGGGGGCCTCTCTATGTATAAAATGATGTTGAATCTTGTACTTAGTCGAAGTTTTTGCCACAGTCTACTGAATACGTAGCTGTGGTATTCTCTTTTCTCTTCCCTCTTGCAAGCGAATAAACGGACAAAGACAACTTTGAATCTTGTTAAGACTCTTGTTTTTTTATTGATTTGTGAACAAAAACTCTCTTCCTCTGATTAACATAGAAGTCTTCCATCACAATGTAGCGACCAGTTTGAGTCCGTTACTGAGGGGGATGTTGTGTCCAAATAATGTGAAGTTGGTGTGAGAGGATGGGATCTTCTTGAGGGACAGAGAGCCTCTCATAACTTGCTGTAGGAGTCTGTGGTGGAAAAAAACCTATTCAATAGTACCGAGTGAGTCCTATAATACTGAAACAAGAAACATTGAGAGAAGAAGTTTGTCTTTAAAGTATTTATTCTCTGCGCAGAGAAGGCTTCACCGTCATACTGACTGCAACGCAGTCTGCAGAGGATGAGCCAAGAGTTCAGTTTATCTGCTGCTCTTAAGCATCTCAGCACACAGTAGGGGGAACATCAGGTATTTACATTACAACAATTGATCAGCAGTTTCAAGCTACCCATTGACTCCTCCAGTCACCCCCTTCCTCTTCTGAGCCTTGTCACCCAAAGAGATCTTTCTTTATTACCCTTGATTACCCCTGGGAATCTGCACACCCAAACATTCTCTGTTTAAACTGCAACCCCCATTTGGTAACTTCTCCTTATCAAAGCAAAGGCAGAGACACCCCATATGGTCCTGTTACCACCCTCCTCAGTACACAATCATATGTCACATATAGTTTTGTTAGTGAGTGAGGCACATAAACTAAATCACAGTAGAAATGTACTAGCACAACTACATTTCCTATCACAAGTCTTTCTCTCTTAAGCGCACAATAAAATAAATTTGTATTCACTGAGATGTTGATTTTTTTACTTTTATTAAAGAATCTGAAGTATACATAATTTCTCCCCAACACCCGCCTCTCGCCTAATGCCATAATGGCTACCTAGAGACTGGTTTTCCCTGTAGCTGAAAACTACTCTTTAACCACTTTAACCCTTTTCACTAGCAAAGTATGAGTTGCATCCCATAAGGGGAAAATGTTGTGTGTTGGCCTCCAGCAGTGCAGCACCAACGTAGCCTTACAGTGGGCCACACCTCAATGGTGGACCACAACAGAAGTTCAGCTCTCATCGCAGCAGTGTGTGCGTTCTGCAGGCGAGGAGTAGGAGGCTAAAGCAGGGTGGGGCAGCTACAGAAAGATGCTATACTGTATAATTATAGATCCTGCTCTTTCCTAAATAGAACACAGGGCCGTCTTTTAGAGACTGCCCTGCTGTATGAAAGCCCGTCAGAAGAAACAGAGTAGGCCTCTGCTTGTGTGTGTTTTCGGACAAGTCTTCACTGTCTGCACTGACCGAGAGCTGGCACTGTGAAAGAGACCGGGATAGAAACCATGAATGATCAAAGAGACACTCAGGCGAATGTCTTCAATGTAAGTGTCCCCCTGTCCAGTAAGCTGTCATCATTTTGTCTTCCGGCTCAGACCTGCAGTAGTTGAAAGATGAAAATGTCCCAGAAGGCATCAGATCGTGCCGCTATTTTGACACAATGGCTGCAACCTTTTAAACAATTAAATAAAAAACCCATTAGATGCTCTAAATGCTTGACCGTGCACCTTTTACTATAATGTTTTTACAATTAAGGGGTGTCAAGTGAATATTGCATTTCATAAGGTGAACTCACCATATCTGTAAACACCAAAGTATCCACGGAGAGTACAGCAGTCCTCTTAGATACTGTACCATTGAACTTGTAACCTTAAATTGATAGAAGTGGCGCCGCCTTAAAGTGTCTGTAGCGCTTTGGTTTTGGCTTCTAAGGTTTAACCAACTGTCGTGTTTTACTACTGCTATTTCTGTCCATATTCTGTTCATTGCATGTCGGTCCATCCTGGAAGATGAATCCCCCCCCTGTTGCTCCTCTGAGGTTCCTCCCTTCTTTTCCTGTTCAAGGTTTCTTCCTTCTTTTTTTGTGGAGGTTGTCTAAACTCAATTATGGGTTCAAGGATAGAGGAAAGAGACCATGTAATTTTTATTTTCTGTCTCTGTTTTTTTGTCTTGGTTAGATTTTCACCTTTTGTCCACTGCTCTCATTCGTGGAAATTTGATGGGGGGGGGGGGATTTTTAGTTGCTCCGTTCCATCTGTATCCTCTGTAGCTGAGGGAGGTGTTTGCAAAATGCACACACACACACCCGGTCTCTCCTTATCCATGTCTATTGTAAATACATTGTCTCTATTATAACGTGTGGGAAAATTCTGAAATTGATACGGTAATGTTTTGCCCGTCCCTCCCTCTTTTCTCCATTGTTCTCTCTCTGTGCAGCTGGCCTGCTGCTGCGGATCAGCGGCCTGCTCGTGCTGCTGTGGCAGCTGCCCCCAGATCAAGCAGTCCACAGGGACCCGAATCATGTACGCCCTCTACTTCGTGCTGGTCACCGTCGTCTGTGTCATCATGATGTCCCCCACTGTGGAGGAGCAGTTGAAAAAAAATGTAAGTACAAAAATCACACACAGCAAAGTATCACTCTAACCACAACACATACACATGTACACGCTCTTAAATTACAGGTATGTTTAGGAATAGAATCTATAGGAATAGATGGTTGAAAGGGTTAATTATAGGAAGGTATAAACATCACAGAGAGAAAATTAAAGCTCTCATCTGTGCTCCATAACAGCGTCGTTTTAAACGGAGACTGAGTGGAGTGGTTCCGAAACTCTCAGAACTAAAAGCCTCCAACAGATAAACGCTTCCGTAGAAAAGTGATGACTGCTAATAATTTATGAGATGTACTCTGATCAACTCAGGGTGGAGCTCATGAGTTGTATAGGAAGCAGCATGCCTGCTTGGGGTGCTACATTTATAAGGCTTATTATAGTTATGATTTGGGTTTTAGCCCAGTTGCTGTTGACAATAGGGAAATAAAAGTCAGTTGGATGTTTGTTTAACAGGCATGTCTATCACAGGTGTGACAGGAAAATAATTTTTAAATAACTGTACAAACACGGAGGGTTCTATTGATTGTCAAGACTACAAAATCTGTGGATTTTCTCGTAAATAATGTGATAGTTTAAATAATGTTATAGGTTTGTTCCAAGGTTTTAAGTCTTAATTCTTCCGTTGTTTGAATAGAAGAGTGGGGGTCGGCTCAGAGGCTATAATAACCAAGCCAACAGTAGACTGTGCCATTAGACAGTAGAGTGCAGTATGCAGACACACATGATGACATGGAGCACAACTGGAAAAGAAAGTGTGGCAGAAATCCTGTAACATAGAGCTCACAAACAAGAGAGTGTCTTTCTGAGTCTTAATTGCCACACTTCAAAGCGGGAACAATCACACCTTCAACAGAGTTTCAGGCTGAGAGAGCAATTTTCTGCTCTCTGAGTATCCATTTATACAATTTGTGAAGCTACACAGATGTAGATACTCATTCTATTTTCAGATATCCTGACAGATCTTGACTGTTATTTGAGACACGTAGGCAGATACTTCTTGTGATCTCCAGATATATATATATATATATATATATATATATATATATATGAGTAAGTTAATGTTAGAAAAATTAACATTAAACAGGACATATATTCTTGCAAGGAGGAGACAGGGTTGAACACATACAGAATATGAGTCAAGTGGCTGCTCAGAGGTTTGTCTCTGAGTCTCTGACATATATACTGAGGATAACAGGCAAGTGCGCTGGCGCAGAGTAATTTGCATAAGTTCTGGACACTGTGATAAAACACAAATGTGTTGGCGCAGAGTAATTTGCATAAGTTCTGGAACATCACTTTGGAGATGTTGAATTCTTCTGTTAACAGTCATCTTGTCTAATCAGGAAACGTCATGATTGCAAATCAGCTCTGTGTAAACACTGACATGCTCAACAGGTTTATTTTCTCTTATTTAGGACAAACGGATGAAATGCTCATCAAGTAGTCATCTGTGATACCTAATCACAACACCAGCTGAGACACTTGGTGTCAGAGGACGTTCACACAAAGTTTCACATGAGGACACAGGCCTTTGGAGCAAAACATTCCTTAGTCTTTAGTTTTTTCCCAACAGTTAATAACCGGTAATAGAGAGGACATTAGATCAATATAAGATCAAGGCTCACTGTATTCCTCCACTACAGAAAGAGCAAGAATGAATTTGGAGGCTTCGCTCTCCACACGTATAGTTTGAAATTGGATGTTCTCTTGTCAGGTAAGCCAACTTTTGTGTTTGGCTCTGTGGCATAAATAGAATAACATTTCGGAGATCGTACGAGTGTTAACATGTCATCGCTTACAGGCAAAATTAAAGATTTATAACATTGCTGCAGGCAAAGCAGACATCCCACTATTTCTCCTTGAGATCCCACGTGTATCTCAGTGGTGAGGCCATAATCGAGGAGGCAGGAATTCAGGGTCGTAGTGTTTCGTTCTTAACCGCCCACATAGCCTCTGAAGTACACACAGGAGGCTTGCTGCTCTCTCTTTTGATCTTTAAGGCTTTCATGTGTTTTTTCCCCCAAAATGTACGTCTTTGAATCAACATAATGCAGGATAATTATCAGACTTTTTCTGTGGTTTGTTTCTGAAAAACTCCAACTTAACTGGAAGGCTTCTGTGGCTACTGATACGATATCGTTAGTTATCCTGGTGAGACTGTAGTGATACATCGCCTTCTCATCCTTCCTTCTCTTTTGTCTGAGTTAATATTTATAGATGAATATCTGAGCTTGAGAAATTACTTCCCTGTTGCGAGGTACCATACAGTACATTTGCTGTATCAGCATTCACGAGACTCGAAGCCTGGGAAGTATACCGCCAACTGACTGCGAGCTTTTCAGGCTATTTTTCCCCATTCTTCTTCTTCTGCTGTTTTCTCCGGCAGTGTTTACTGTACAGTATTGAAAACGACTCCCAACTGTGTGTCTCCTTGTGAGAGGAAAACCCTGTAAAAGGCCTATCAAGGCACAAAATTGCCTCTGATAGCCCCACGCAAAGCCTGCTGAGTTACACACACACGTATATACACATTTACACTCACACCGCCAGTCACACACTGAGCACAGTGGGAAGTCCCGGCTAAGAGAGCAGCCATTGTGCGTATGAGAGTGCTGGTCTTTTCTCCAGAGATTTACAGCTGTCTGAAACAGCCGGCCCCCTTCCCTCTTAATCACGACACCATGGACATGCTAATATGGTCCTCAACGCGAGACAAAAGCTCCAAAATGGGCTTTTTACTCTATGTTGTGATCTGGCCTGGACTGTGGTGCACACTGAGGTGATGACAACTCAATCCGCTGGCGTCTCACCCATGTGTACAACCTCAGTGACCAAAATACTCGAGTAAACTAGTAAAGCCAGCTCAAAGTAAGTGTCTGTATTTCTCTCAAAAATTGATTTGTGTTTGAAAAGCAGCTCTTGTATTTGACTTTGGTTCAGGTATCTACAGTGAGAGGAGGGAATAGATATTTGAGCCTCCATTCTGTTATCTTTTAAAGGTCGTCTCTTCTCTTGGCTTTGAGCCACTGAAGCACTTCCAATTTCCTGTTGAAGGCCACAACAAAGTCCTTATCTACTCTACCCAGTTTTCCACTCTTCTTGTTTATGCAGCTCACTGTGGGTCGAAACACATTTTGGATATTTATTTTAAGACGGATCTGCCAATCTTTCTCTTGTGCTCATGCGCTCTTCTGCTTTTCGCTCTTCTCCAACCCCTCTGACTTGCTGACAAAAGGCGGTTAATTTATTCATCAGTGTCTTTTGTTTGTGTACACTGACAGTTAGTTGTAAGGCCCCTCTAACAGCCTGTAGAGAACGAGGAATGAAAGAAGGCTTCGCGGAGAGAAAGAGGGGTTGTTGTTGTTGCCTGTTCTCTCTTTCTGCTCCTTGAGAGGCGTGACGCACAGAATAGAAGCTATTGGGCCTATTCTCTGAGGCCATGTACTAGACAAACATAAGCAGAGGTGTGTGTGTGTGTGTGTGTGTGGGCGAGGGCACTCCATGATGATCTAATCTGAGTGTTTTGTGTGTTTGTGATTTTGTCAATCAGATCCCCTTCTACAATGAGTTGTGTGAGAGGATTAATGCAGGGGAGAACTGCAGAACTCTGGTTGGCTACTCTGCTGTCTACAAGGTGTGCTTCGGCATGTCCTGCTTCTTCTTACTGTTCGCTTTCTTCACCATACGCATCAACAACAGCACAGGCTGGAGGGCGGTCGTGCATAACGGGTAAGAAGGCCTTCTTCCTCTTTCTGTTCACCTTTTGTCCCGTCAGTCATTTAAACAATTTATATTCACCTATAATGCATGGCTGCTAATGTATAGTGCTCGTTTGTGAGCTCTAAGGCAAAAGCGAAAGAAATTCTAACCCTTGGCTGAAGGTAGGTACATAACTCGCAGGCGTGTTTTCATTAATGCCGGCATTAGTACGGTTCAGTTTCTAAGAATGTGAACATCAAAAATCACAATACATTGTAAGCAAACAGCCTTATCCTGCAGCATTACAGGTGATCCCTCAATAGATTTTCTGAGCATAATTATGTCATAAACATAAGCACCTTAGTATTAGTATTTTTGGGTTCATTATACTAAATGTTCTGAATTACACATGTATTTCTTGCATGTCTCTTCCTAACACTGTACATTAAAATTCTGATCTAAGTCACGCTGAATCTGTTCTGTCAGGTGTAATAGTTTTGTGTATAAAATGTACAACGTTTAACGCTATGACTGATTTAAATGTCAGGTTCTGGTTGCCGAAGTTTATTGTGCTGGTGGGATGCTGCGCTGGAGCCTTCTTCATCCCGGAAGAGGAAACTTTTCTGGAAGGTAAAGAACACACTCAATAGTAGTGCTGTAATCTTTTTTTAAAGCTTGTATTCGTCATATATGTAACATTCATAATAATAATATAGATCATAAATACATGTACTGTAAATCCACCTCAGTTGTAGAAGACACAGGAAAGTAATAAGAAAAGAGTGGAAGTAACAAGTAATGTTTTTTTTTTTTTCCATTAGCCATATCCTTTTCCAAGCTCACTCAAATATACTGCCCTCTAGTCAAACTTCTAAATGAACCTGCCACGTTATCTGTAGTTTGAATATGATCTCACGACACGAAGTGCAACAAGTAGCAGATATCTGCTGGAAGGTCGTCTCATCTCTAAAGCAATTTCCCCGTCTCTCCCACTCTTCAATGCCACAGTGTGGCGCTACATAGGAGCAGGTGGCGGGTTCATTTTCCTGCTGATCCAGCTCAAGCTGTTGGTGGAGTTCGCACACAGATGGAACACAAACTGGTGAGAACAACATGTCTTCTATATGCTTTTGTCTCTTTTGTCCAGGTAACTCAAAGAGCCCTGTTTAGAATTACAGGATGTATAAGGTTGAGGAGTTTGCACTTCCTTTCCCCTTCCCCTCCCACACAAACACACACATGCCACAGCAGATTGTTTTAAAAAACGTCTAATATTTTAGTAACCAATGCAGTAAACCCAAACTTCTAAACAAGTATTGGTATGTGCACTTGTGCCCATTTAGTTTTGTAGTAAAACCTTGAATTTCCGGACTTAAAGAACCATAAACCTGTCTCTTCATCTCTGCAAACTGCAGAAATAACTCACTAACATAACTTTCTCTTTCTTTGAATTTTTCTTTAGGCCAACCTCTCCTGTGTCTGTTTTCTTCCTTTCTTCCCCCTGTTCACTTGATCTTTTTTTCTTATTTAATTTGCGTTACCCTTGTTCATCTTGTGTTTTTTCCTTTCTGTTGTTTGCTTTCTCTCTCTCTCTCTCTCTCTCTCTCTCTCTCTCTCTCTCGTTCTCTCTGTCTCTGTCTGCAGGAGTTCAGGACTGAAATATAATACTATGTGGTACGCAGCTTTGGCCTTCGTAACTCTGATGCTGTTCAGTGGTGCGGTGGCGGCCTTGGTCTTCATGGGCGTGTTCTACACCGACGCCGAGGCCTGTTTATATAACAAGATCTTCCTGGGCATCAACGGCAGCCTGTGCCTCATTATCTCCCTGTTGGCCATCTCCCCATGCGTACAGAAACGTGAGGACCTGTACACACAAGCACATTATCTCATTTGACTGTGTAATACAAATGAAAAATACGAGCATTTGCATTTAGATGCCATTTATAGAAAGCTACAATGCTTATCACAAAGAGTAATTCACAAATATCAACACATTTGAGATAATGATGGAAAGTAAAGATAAGTAATACTATTAGCTACAATACTTACACTATTTTGTAAAATACATTTGCACTGACTCACGAATCTCTTGTCGGTATAGCCAGTGATATTTAAATCCTTTATTTACCTTTGTTGTATCCCTACAGTGCAGCCCACATCAGGCCTGCTGCAGCCAGGAGTCATCAGTCTGTATGTCATGTACCTCACCTTCTCAGCCTTCTCCAGCAAACCAAAAGAAAGTGAGTATGACCAGACACCCATCTCCAACTAGTAGTTACTGCCATTGTTGGGTTCGATCAACTGGTATTATATATGTTGAGTGCACTTTTATTGTTTAGAGAAGTGTGTTTTTAAAGGGTCACTGTGTAGCCTTTCGGGGGATCTATTAGCAGATTTGGAGTATTATATTCATAACTATGTTTTCATTAGGGCATAATCGCCTGAAAATAAGAATCTTTGTGATTTTGTTAGCTTAGAACGAGTCCTTCATATCTACATAGGGAGCAGGGCCTCCTCACGGCATCAGGCATGTTGCAGCGCCTTGTTTCTACAGTAGCCCGGAACGGACAAACCCAACACTGACTCTAGAGAGGGCCTCTCACGTTTTCACGTTACCTGAAGGCCATGGTAGTTCTCAGGCACACTTGTGAAACCAATGCACCGGCAGTCGCCTTCTGACTTTCATCGCTCCTAAAGCAGAGTTATTATGGTATGGATGTCCTCTGAGTTAGGCAAGCGGCATTACCACAGCCTTGTACTCGGCGGCTCACATTACCGCAGGCTTGGAAAGGGAAGAGTGAGCGAATATTCGTTCATTTGATTACAATCTGCAACCACACCTCTAGATGCCACCAAATACTACACACTGCTCCTTTTTAAAATGGCAACAAAAAACAACAACAACTAGTTGTTCCAGTGGCCTGTGTTTTAATGGAGTTTTAGGATTGGCATGCATTTCATTGGTGGTGATGAAGACATCAGTGGTTTGACAGTTTAAAAAAAGAACTCTGAAGAAATTACAAAAATGTTTATGCTCATATCATAACATGTGACTTTTAATAATAAATATTGATTGTAAGTCATCTGATTCAAATTAACCAAAAATAATGGAGACAATAAAACACACATTTAAAGCACATTTCAGAAGCCAGAAATCATATTTTACGATTGATGACCCAGATTTGAAAGTCAAGTGTTCAATGTTATCAATACAGAATACAGAATCCTGCACATCTGTTCTGTGAAATGTTGTTGTGTTACACTCGAGTGTAAAAAAACATAAACCTATAGGCACAATACAGTGATGCCTGTCTAAGATAAGGGATTCATATCTCTATGACTAAGATAAAAAGTTTAACTTGGAGCTTTAGAGAAAGTTGTGATCCTTAAAACAAATCACTCTGTAGATTGTGAGATACATTTCCATCCCTACAGCGCTCCTATTTCCACAGCAGCTGTCAAGATAATATCCTATGCTGAGACGCTATTGTAAAGATAATCTTACCATAAATATTTAATATCAGCACATGCTTCCAAAGTAACACTCAAGCATGCTGTTATTGAGGCTGTTGGTGCTTCTGTACTTCTGCAAGCTGTACTTCTGTAAGTTGCACTTCTCTATTTTCCCTTTGCCTCCCGCTCTCGATACGTTGTACCAAAATACACACACACACACTCGCTGCATCTTTCACAATATCCTCTCGCCTTACAATACTCCCTCTACTTGTTCTTTTGGCTCATCCATCTCTGTCTCCATTCTTTACGTCTAGCGGTGGAAAGAGATGGTGTGAACACCACCGTTTGTATGTTTTCCTTCAACTCTGACACTGAGAGCGACAAGCAGATTGTGACCGGTTTTGGAACCATTATCCTTTTTGGCTGCATCCTTTACTCTTGGTAAGACACACACACACACACACAAGCACACACCTTGCTTCTCCTTTTTCCTGATCTCAATGTCTAGACAAATACAAGCCAAGTTTCCCTACAACATATCTCTTGTTAGTGCTATATCATTAAATTGAGAGAGTTGAGAGATTATGTAGAGGCTACACGCCAAACCCATTAACAGCAGTTCTGTTATCTGCAATGTTGAATAACGGTAATGCATTTCATGGCAGGCTGTAGCGACAGAGACGGGGTTGTTTTGATTGGATGTGACTCTTGAGAGGGAGTGCATGATTGGCTGTGGCTAAGCGAAGGGTGTGAGATGGATTTTTTTCCTTTGTTCACATGTGTTTCCCATCAAGTGGAGGCATCATGTCTACTGTGGCCATTCCCTGAAGGAGAGGGAATTAGACTCTGCAGCAATCTGAAACTTCAAATTAATGGAAAAATACATTGTGACGGAATTACAACCTTTCTCTCCCTCCATCTGTATCTCTATCTTTTTCTCCACCCTCCCTCTAGCCTGACGTCCACCACCAGGCGAAGCTCTGCAGCGCTCAGAGTGTGTAGGAACAGTGAGCCAGAGATTGAGGTACACACACAAATATTCAGATCTCACCAGGGTGTGTGGTTAAACAGATTAACAGGACTTGAAAACCCCACTGACCAGACACTTTTAATTAGACGTCCTTATTAAATTAAACTAATTACACCCGAGAGAGATGTGTGTCTCTTCCAGTTTGGTGGTAACCTGTACGTTTTTCTTCGTCCTGCAGAGAGCTCGCTGCTGTTTCTGTTTTGGAGATGACACAGGTGAGGAAAGTCAAAAAAATGTCCCCTCACTGTCTCGTCTTGCTTTTTCCCTCCCCCCCCTGCCACTCCAGCCTGTTCAGTGTGTATGCATATGCACCCAGCCGTAGTGTTTGCACACAGAGGGGCTATGCTCATTGCTATTCCTCAGCCAGATTGAGGAGGGTGAGAAAGTATTGGTCAGCAAACATAGATGATGTCACTGTTACTAGGAGGGTCGTATGACAGAGTGAAGCAGGACCAAAAGCAAAGTGGAATTGTGGGTAGGCTGACACTGCCCCCTGCTGGAAATAAACAATAGTTATATAGGAATTATATTTCCACCTGTACAAATATGCTATTTGCATGTATTTTAAATAAGCAAGTCCAGAATGACATCAGTGTTATACGGCATTTTCTCACATTAAAAGTGTCACTCCCTCACACCCTCTTTGAATTCTTTAATGTGTGCTTTTTAGATGACGGTGAGGAGAACAACACTCGTGGAGGCCAAAACGTGATGTATGATGAGAGAGAAGGAACCATCTACAGCTACGCCTACTTCCATTCTGTCTTCTTCCTGGGATCCCTGTACGTCATGATGACCGTCACCAACTGGTTCCAGTAAGTGATGCTCAGACATATACAGTATGGGTATGCTCATGTACCACAGTCACTGTGGATGATCAGACTGAACGAAGCAGACCTCACTCAGTTCATTAAGTGCAGAATAAATAATAACCAACTTGGAACAAGCAATATATGTAGATTTATCCAATCACAGGATGAATATTTGTTTGGTCAACTGGAAATATAATTAATAACAGTATCAACATGCATATATACATGTGCAAAAATAGTCAATATTTGACTTTATTTCATGTATGAAATAGCTAAAATAAGGGTCAATAAAATCTCTTTCCTTTCCCTAACAAACTTTTCTCTCAGCAAACATTTTGACATGCCTTAGCATAACAGGTGTTATTAATAATATTAAATTATTTCAATAATGACTGCTTTCCATTTTGATAAGCCATTCCAAGGGTCCTGGTGTGGCTTTCTGGGACACTTAATTGCATGAGACATTGTTAATGTTATTAGTTATAACTGTGCTTCTCCTGCTATGACGAGGTAAAATGTCAGATATGAAAAATATCTGTAGTGACTTTATTCTAATTGAGATATGATTAAGGATAAGCTTGCAGGTCCTTAGTATTGTCTCAATTAGGTTAAAGTGGCTATAATCAATATTTTTGTTATAACCATGGATCAAATGACTAGTGGTGGCCAACACATATGGAATAATCACCTGACTGCCGTTCCCTCTATGGAGCTTTATAGCATATTTCAGCTCATTGCAGATTTGTTTCACTCTCGCAGCGTTTGTTTCGGCTGTAGCAGCCAGCTGTTTTCAGAGAGAGAAAATAAGCCACAGTTACCTACCGAACATCAAAATGCAGACAGACTAAAGTTATCATCTACCTGGTGTACATAGTGGACCATTCAGCTGTTAATGAGTCTCGTAGTCGTTGCTCAGTTCTCTCGTTTTGTGCTTACGTTTGCAGTTTTGATGGCCATAAGATTGAGAAGCTGTTAGACGGGAGCTGGTCAGTGTTCTGGATCAAGATGGTCTCCTGCTGGGTCTGTCTCATCCTCTACATGTGGACTCTCTTCGCTCCCATGGTCTGCCCAAAGCGCTTTGAGGCCTAAGAGCCCCACCACTAAACTGGAGTCGGGCTAGTTGGGACGTGGCCAGGCAGACGCTCTCAAGCTGAGCCAAGGGACAACCACCCCTCCCTCTTACCTTGAAACACAAACCCCACGCTACCCTCAGCGTTGAAAATGGAGGATTATCTGTTGCCTTTTGTTATATATGCTAATGTTTTACTTTGTTTTACAATGTTGATACCTTGATGGTAAATGTATCTTTTACTACCAGTTTACTCATGGAGTTTTGTATTGCTTATAGATTTGAAATTACATAAAGAATCATGGGAGTTAAATTACATTGTGAAACACGAGTATCATCCAGCCCCTATAGATTCCTTCATAATTTCAGATTTGAAAGTGTATTTTGTAAATATTACCTGTGTTTTTGTTTTTTTTCTCGCTTTTGCTCTCAGCCAGACATTTCAGTTCTGTTCAGTTGGACCATAAAGTTGTAGCAAAGTTTTGGGACAAATGTATTTCAGGTTAGAGATGTTACAAGAGAAAATGTATTTATTTACGTGTGTCTTAAGTAATCAGAAATCATTTTGTGAAGGAATGTGGTGGGAATTGAAATGGATTTGTCCCTGGCTCTGTTTAAGAACTCATCTCTCAGGCTCACATCTAAGCGGTGTATGTTTGTGCTTTCTTATGTTGCTCCCTTTTGTAGAAGTTTTCTATGCAACAGAACAAGCCCTTTTTAATATTATACCCAGTGTTGTGAAGTTTCCACTTAGATTACAAGGCTAATTCAGATTTTATTAATGTCAGTGCTCCCTTTGAGCAAGATCTTTTCTTAGGAAAATCCATGTCATCTGTACAACATTTCCTGCCGTCGTCGTTGTTGTTGTTGTACAGGGCGGTGCTCTTCAAGTCAACCTGCCTTATGTAAGAGTGACGTGGGTGGAGTGCCGCGGCTGCCTCTCTGGAAGAGCTGTAGTGTCACAGATGAGGAATGTTTGCCAAAGGTAGATGTCAGAAAACAACAAACTACTCTATCAGAATTGTTTGGTCAGTAACAGAGAAAAATATAACCGAGAACATTAAGTATTTGCATGCAGACACAGACATTTAAATCAGCTGTTTTCTGTACAGTTATAAAGGCTTTTATTACATTTGTCATCTCATAATGGTGGTAAGAATAAGGTAGCATAATTGCTTTTATTAGCAAGTTATTCAACACTGGATGTTGAGTTTATTGCCGAATTCAAATTCACACAAAAACCTCCACCTGTTTTCCTGTGTAACAGATTCTTTACAATTTATCGCACATTGTCAACTGCAAGTCATTTTTGTTTTTCATTCATCTATAAATCAGAATGTCCTTTTTGTCTGATTGTATTACTAACAAGTTTTATGTACATTTTGGCTTAAGTCCTGTGATCTGTGGATTCATTCATTCAGTTTACGTTTCATATACATGCAAATCTTGTCAGGTGACTTCATTGTTTTGGAAACTATTCTGCATTTTTACTTTTGGTATGATTGTAGAAATTGAATGGTGCTCTGCAGCTTTGATATCAATCTAAACAGATACCTAAATCAGATGACATGACCCACTGTGAAGGCTGTGTACTACCATAACGTACATCAACACTTTTGGACCAAGATGTATGTTTGAAATACAGAGACGTGGGTGCCATGCAGTTCATTGTTCACACTCTTTCAATAAAACAGCCATCGAACGCCATGTGGTGTCTTTATTTGCTAAAGATTTCTCTCATACAGATAAATGACACAATGATCTCATGTTAAAAAAAAAAAAAAAAAAGACGTTTTCTTTAATGTTCAGAATTTATTGTACTTCCAACACATTCAAAAATAGTATTGAATCTTTAACACTACTCATAGAATTGCATTTGAGATATTGCATAAACATACAACCTGCTGATTTATACAAGAGTGTACTGGCTTCAGTTAAACACAAGTGAAGTATATAATGCCCAATGTTACAGTTTAGCTCAAATGTCAAAGTTAAAATACCATCACCAAAGTCCCTCACCAAAACTCTCCATGTTCTCTCTCACATAATCTTTTTTTCTCTAACTCGTGCCCTCTAACTCTTTGTTTTCAGCTGTCCAGCTCTGCTCCTCTGCTAAGTTGTTTCCTAATGGATCGCTCCGCTACTCTGGCTTCACTCTGTGTTCTGGGCATTGAGATCCTCGTAGTCAGCAGGAATAGTATCTGTGGTGATGAGAAAGAAAAAGAAACGCTTAGGCATACTTGAAGTTTATGTAGCCGATAGGACTACCTCTAACTTGCAGACACTCACCGTTGCAACGGTACTTTAGATTGGCCCAGATTATGTTTTCCTGAGAGAAGCAGAACACGCCCAGTCTCCCGCCTCTCATACTGGTATCAATTATCACTTCTGTGTCCGCCACCAGTTTTGAACCCTCAAAGAAGCGAGCTCTGGTTCACACAGGAGGTGAAATTAGTTAAGTCAGTCCGCACAGTATGAGAGTGTGTATGTCTCTGAGTGTTGGAGGGTGTCCTGATGTGTGTACCTGATGTATCCAACCTGTGGTCTGTGCTGCAGGAACCAGCGGTAGGACACCTTGTCCTTCCAGCCAACGTTCCTGGGGTCCTTCCACAGGAGCCGGGCCTGATCAGGGGTGTCTCCTGTGTGCCAGAGGGAGTTCCTCATATACTCACCAGGACCCGTCTTTGACTTAACTACCTAGTAGTAATAAAGAGACAGATAGAATAAGAGAGGGAAAGAAGAGATGATGAAAGTAAACACTCTTCCCCCAGCTGTAACTCAGGAGGCAGAGTGGGTCATCCACGAATCACAAGGTTGGCAGATCAATCCCCAGATCCTCCTGTCAAAGTGTTCTTGGGCAAGACATTGAACATGAAATTGCGCCTTGCAAGCGCCTTGAACTGTAGCTCGCTGCCACCGGTGTGTGGATGTGTATAGAAATGCAGCCATTTACCTTGAGTTGTATTCCCGGCTCAGCAACGGCTCTGAAGGGTGCAGCCTGCCAGTAGGTTTGTTCTGTCTGTTTCCACATCACCACGTAGAAGGAGGAGGAGTCCTGGTAGCCGAAGATGAAACCAGTATAGTCATCATCCGTCACCGTGTTAACGTGGAATGTTCCCTCAAAGTCAACCCCACTGAACGCTTTGTAGCCTGCAGATGTGGACAGTGGAGAAGGAGGACACGATATATGTGAGGCAAAGGCTGACAAAAAAAAACACTGAAGAAGATGGGAATATTCAAACAGATGAGGATGAGACAGCAGGAAGGTATTCTGTGCTTACCGACTGCAAGGCCAGGGTCGGAGTTCATGGTCTGAACTATCTCCTTGCCCTGTCAGGACAAATCAGAGTAGCTTCACTTTATTTGTCCTACTACGGGACTCATTACATATGTTGTTGTTGAATTTTAACAAAAATAATAATAGTTTTAACTAAATTGTACTACCAGTACAGTACTATACTCACGTTCTAAAGAATATGGACGGAACAGGTATGAGCTTTATACAAAGACTTGTAATGTTACTGTAACAGAGGCTGACTAGGAAAGGGGGTTGAACTTTGGCTATTGTTTACCTGATTCAGGACCACCCAGTTGGGGTCAATCTGAGAGTCCCCCTCTGGATCCAGCACTACGGTCTGATAGGCTCTGAAGTCGGTCAGGGTGATTTCAGCGTTCTCTGGGCAGTGGTCAATTATGTCAATGATGTTGTCTTTGTCAAAATCTCCTTCGCATGCGTCTCCAACATTGTTATCTGAAATACAAGGATGCAGCTTAGTAGGGACCACATAGCACAAACACATACTGTACACATGCATGTACGCACCAAGGAAAAAACATGAAGTGATACTAACTATCTGTGTTCTTTTGGTCTGGGTTGGGGACTAGTCTGCAGTTGTCATCATCGTCCAGAATGCCGTCGTTGTCGTCGTCATCGTCGCATTCATCTCCCTATCAAGATAAAAACGCACATTTGGAGCAGGGTAAACACAGAGCCATCTATATGTCAGAATGCATGAGAGGAATTAATGAAATATGATTAATCTAATAAATAAAGTAAAGTATGAATAAGGAGATTAAAACCATTCCATCCTTGTCAGTGTCCAGCTGAGAGGAGTTGATGATTGTGGGACAGTTGTCTTTTGTGTTCTGGTGGCCATCACCATCACTGACAAAGAGGAGGTAGGTCAAAACATGACACATCTGTATATACATTCATACCACTGGTCATGACAGAGGGCTCTACCTGTCTATGTTGTCGTCACAGGTATCTCCTACAAGGTCATCATCTGAGTCAGACTGCAGGTAGACGAAACAAACACGGTTGGTCAGAGTAGTAACAGCAGAGACTTTTTTTAGGACGTTGTTTGGTTTGTTACCTGGTTAGGGTTGGCAACATCAGGACAGCTGTCGCAGGCATCTCCCACCCCATCGTTGTCTCTGTCTTTCTGGTCTACATTGGGGACACGCTGGCAGTTGTCGAGGATATTCTTATAGCCTGCAAACATCAACAACTCAGCCTTTTTATTTCTGCGTCATGTGTAAAAACGTTGACAGGAAAATCAAAAAAGCCTGACAGAACACAGTCTGTAGACACGGTCTGTCAAATGCATGACCAGATGGCAGTGTTTGTTGAAGAAGAAGGTGAAATAGTTTCCAGTGGCCTTCAATGCCTGGCGGAGGCTTACTGTGGAAAAATGCTTTTAGAGAGGAGACAGACATGACCAAGTGCTTAGCAATCCAGCCTGGGAGTTGAAGACATAACCAAATGATCAAGAGGTTGGAGCTCTGCCAAAAGGAACGAACATCTACAAACAGAGTCCCAATATGCAACATGCGTAAGCATGCAAAGGTAAACATGGGAGCACACACAAAGACAAGAAGTTAAAACTGTGTTTCTAAAGGAACAAATGAGAGGTGCTTTAAAAGGGCAATCAAGTGAAGTATGTGAGAAGTTTTTTACACCTACGATTCCAGTTGGAACATTTTAACATTTAACACTGTTTTCTACTGGTGTTTTTAGTCTTCCAGGCTTGAGTTGTTTCCATGAAAGCCAATGATCTAACTGGTAGAGGATGTCAATTGGAAACAGACACAAAAATACCAGGGAGATGTTTTGAACAGATAAAGTGCTGCCAGTCTAGTGAAAGCAACAGAAATGCGCACACTTTCCACCAAACAGGATGGCAAAGGTTGTATTCTTGTCCAGACAGTCTGGTCCCGACAGGCTGTGGTTTGGATAGCCCTCACAGACATGGTAGTTGTTTAATGTGATTATCAGTCACTTCGTTTCACAATGTGTTCCTCCATATATTACCTCTAATTGATGCAATAAAAGCATTAATGGCCCAGTTACTAAACCTCCCACAGTAATGACCATCCAACCTTTCCATTCAATGTGACCATTAACAAAAAATTGCCCCTCCAATTACACCCAGTGATGTACAGCAATTACAAAACTATGTGACAATAATAATAATTTGACTGTTATATAATAACAAACACACTTACCGTCCCCGTCCATATCATCATCGCATTCATCTCCCAGCCCATCCTGATCGGTGTCCCTCTGTGAGGGATTTTCAACTGTTCTGCAGTTGTCACAGGCGTCGCCAAGAAGATCCTTATCGCTGTTCCTTTGGTCCACGTTAGGTACGAGC